TAAAGGGTTAGGGGAGATGGGGACTGGGGAGGTTACCTGAAATAATAAAAAATAAGTATTAATTTATTAAAATTGAAAAGTTGAAATTGCTTGTGCAAGCATAATAGGGCAGGGGGAGGTGTCAAAAATCCCGATATTAGAACTAAAACAAATCCGTTCCATAAATCCAAGTGTTTGTTTATGTTAAAAGAATCTTGCGCTTTGCCGCGTAGCATAACCAGAGTTCGCTGCAGGTACGAGTTCTCTCCAGGCATCACACCGGTAAAACGGGTAGTTTTTCTACAAATTTCTGCGTAATTGCAAATGTAAAACCTACCTAATATGCAGGAGGTACCACGAAACATGACAGTTGGTTAATAGTTTAAAATACCTCCTTCCATAAATGGTGAAGTTGTTTGATATCAAAGATATAATACATGGCAGTCATCATATTATGGTAAAATTGATTTCAAAGTAAAATATAAGTAAAATATTTTTATAACTAAAGAAACGGAAAAAAAGATTTTAATAATCCAGTATACGGAAGAAGACATTTACCAACTGTCATGTTTCGTGACACCCTGTATCTCAATTAACCCTTCTAAGTTTCTATGAAACCGACTATTGCTTTGTTTTTCTCAGTAAACAATATACAGTGAAACCCTTAATAACAAATACATCGAAAGAATTAATCAAATGTCGTATTCTTCACTTTCTGATAATGGAATGTTGCAGATATTTAGTTTTTTAATTAAATAATTATATGGAACTCTTTAAAACTGTTCCCGCATATTCATGGTTATTTATTTATCTTCGCAAAGACTGAAATTTACGTAATATAGTATAAAACTCATTGAAAAATTGTCAAGACGACATTTGATAAATTCTTTCGATGTATTCGTTATTAAGGGTTTCACTGTATACAATATAGATATAAAACTTAATATTGGGTCGATACATAAATCTTCAAGAAATAAAATAAATCTAGTTAACTGGAAGAAAATATTGCTGCAGAGGAGGAAAAAGGTGAAAAATAACTAAATTTGGAACATTAATAAAACCAAGGAAAGAGATAACACTTAACCAAACTCTTATATGCTGTTAAATGAGGTATGGCGAAAATATACTTATTGCGAAGTAAAATATGTCAAATAAAAAATATATTAAAAAATATCAAACATCAAAAAGAAAAATATCAACCTATCTGGATCATGTGTCTGTAGCAGGAAAAATGTGTTTAAAAATTTAAAATTCAGTTAGAATGAAATGAATATGCATCATAGAGGTATAATGAGACATCAGTTGGAATAAAAAGGAATATGCATCATTGCGGTATAATGGGACATTAGTTGGAATAGAAGGAATATGCATCATAGAGGTATAATGGGACATCAGTTGGAATAAAATAAATATGCATCATAGAAGTATAATGGATCATCAGTTGGAAAAAAAGGAATATGCATCATAGAGGCACCTTGGGACATCAGTTGGAATAAAAGGAATATGCATCATAGAGGCATAATGGCAAATCAGTTGGAATAAAAGGAATATGCATCATAGAGGTATAATGGGTCATCAGTTAGAATAAAAGGAATATGATTCATAGAGGTACAATGGGTCATCAGTTAGAATAAAAGGAATATGCATCATAGAGGCATCATGTGACATAGATTGGAGTATAAGGAATATGCGTTATAAATGTAAAATTGGACTACATCAGTTAGAATAGAAGAAATATGCATCATAAAGGTAAAATGGGACTACATCAGTTAGAATAGAAGAAATATGCAGCATAAAGGTAAAATGGATAATAGTTGGTTTCAATTTATTTCAGAGTTCTCAGGAACGACAGTTACTATTTTCTTTCATTGCCAAATCATTTTGTAAATCGTATACAAACAATGTGCCCACCAGAAAACTTAGCCATAATAAAATCAGAACATTCTAGTTAAGAGTCGTCATTAAAATCTCATATTTTGTGAATAATCCTTTCTAGAATATTTGTAAATCCAATACAGGTATCCTGCATCAGTTCACCTTCCCCTTTGTGTTTTAACCAGGGGGCTTAAACGTCATGTATGTATGTCTGTACGAAAAGGGTGTATGTAAGTAATAACGAACTGAAGGCGTGTATTGTAGGTATATACACTACAGTACATAAGAATCTCGGTATTCGTACAGTCTAGGAGAGTACATTTGTTTATTGTCAACTGTTTACTTAAAAATAAGTTTAATATACATGCAATATATTGTTTATATATTTAAATTAGGGTTTCCAACGCAAGTGGACTTTACTTGCGCGCAATTCCGTAATAATTGCGCGCAAATAAAAGCAACTCAATTCCGTCCAACTTTCTTGCGTTTATGTTTCAATTTTTTAATAAATTAAATTTAACCCTTATGGCACGCAATAAATGCAATTAATTATTGCGCAATTCCTTTCAACAACAAAAAATTCAATTTAAACTTTGGTAGTGGCATACAATTTAAACTGAACTTCACTCACATTTCAATCTCAAATGCTAAGAAAATTGAATTTATACTTAATATTTTGTTTTATAATATTCATGTGCAGCTGGTTCAGCATGATAACCAGAAAACTCTGGCATAGGAAGACGACAGTTTAGACTCAAGCAAACCCATGTAACTGGATAAGACATTTAATTAACTTATTTAATTAACTTATTAATTAACTGTGATGTTGTCTTTCTGTACCATAGTTTTCTGGTTCTCATTGTTATATCTAATTTTGATTAAACGAACCTTACAATTTTAACCAAGTAAAGTTTCCATTTTAATTTTTATCCAATGTTAACAAATGAAAAATGTATCATATTAAATTGTTAATTAGCAGCTTAACAAGAAACTTTAAAATTTGAAAACTGTTGAAACGAGTGACACTCGGGCCTCGATCATTTTAAAATCAACAGAGATATTTAATTCCATTCTTGTATCTGCTGCATAAATTTGTAAGTCGAGCTGCAGTTAAAATTATTGATTTTTAGATAGAAAAGCAATTCCGATGCACGCAATTCCGCGAATATTTATTGCTTCCTTTTTCGCAATTATAGCGCAATTGCGCGCAATGAAATAGCGAAAGCGGAAGCAACCATTGCGCGCAATTCCGCCCAACGGAATTCCGATTGGAAACCCTAATTTAAATCAACACTATAAAGCCAAATTTTCCTGAAAAAATAGAATTTGATTAAAGTTTACATACAATAAACTAATCGCTATTGAAGCTTAATTAATAATTATAATTGACGACATTATTCTGCAATTTCATTGACTGTAGTCATGTTGTGTATCTGTACCAAAAGAGTGTGCGTGTGTGATAAAGAACTCGTCTGCAAAGCAGTTCGACCGGCTTTCTCATGCCAGACCAGCGCTATTTCCCTTCCCTTTATTCGTATTCCTTGGTTTTAACCATTTATTTTAGAAATAGAAAGCAACATTAAAACATTTAAAATTTTTATTTTACATAGACATAAACATGCGCATTTAGTTCTAAATGTATAATATAGAAGCTAAAAAGCAAAGTAACTATTTATAACACTGTTATTTTGGTTCGCAGTGTTATGAAGTTTTCGGACAGAAATTTTCTATTTATCGAAAAGGCGAGAACCTTCGAGATATAGAGACAATTTAAGTCCAAAAACTTTACAGCACGTCATGCCAAAATAATAGTTTTATAAGTAATTTTATGAAACGTTTGTGTACTTGTCTTATTTTAATGGCTATTTATATTTGATTTTCATTTCAATTGAAAAAAATGTTTTGGAAATATTGAAGCAGGAAAATGATTTGTTGATCTTTCCTGCGATCAAGAGAGATTTTGCCCCCCCCCCCTTTTCCATTCCTTGTACAGACCTAACGGATTTATTTGAGTTTATACGTGAATTCTAACGCCGATAACCCAAGCCACGCCGAATGTTCTGTTATTCCAGAGGCCCGGGCGCTGGTGGAGATGGCCGGCCAGCTCCCCGGTAGCTAGGGTTTAACCTAGGCTAGGGTGGAGTGAAACTTGGGGAAAATAAGCAGTTGAGCATCAACTCCCTGGATAATAGGTCGCCCTGGAGATCCTCCTCATCCTGGACTATCTATTCATGCATTATTGATTCGTATAGTATTTTCCTATTATTATTCGTGTTTGTATAAATAATAATAAATTTTAAAACCGTCTCGCTGAATATTTGATAATATGAGTTGTTGACTTGAATTTTTAGCATATATTAGAATATTCTAATTTTTTGGAGAAAATCCGGGAACCAATCAAAACTTTAAATGTACGGCTAGTTTAACATTATAGGACGTTCATTATGAAATTTAAGATGAAGTAAGGAAGAATGATCAAGTACACAATAGTTTCATAAATAGTTATATCCTCTCAAATGTCATCTTTATCTTAAATTATCAAAAACTCAATATTTCTTTTGGTCGTGTTTTCACTATGTTTTATAGTTAGAGGTGAACTGAGTAAGGAGGTTTTAGGATGCATCTTACGCTTATTGTAGAAGGTTTATTACCTTAAAGGGAATTTTGTTTTAAATGACCCTCCATTTTAAGACGGGCATGCCCGATTCTCCACGGTACCCTTGAGATCTTAATCTAATCAATAATATGACAGATTACGTCGTGTTTTTTTTAGGTTGATAAGATTTTGGTTTCTGGAGCAAGAAAAAGTTTTTTATTGAAGAAAGCCCCGAATAAAAATAATCGGTTCATAAAATCAAAAGCAGGGATATCTAATTCATACTTAATCAAACCTAGCTTTTTATGATACTGTTACTTCGGACATCCCACTTCTATCAATGAAAGGTTACTTCAAATTACTCTCACATTCCCCTTAAACATTAACAATTTATTTTAAGATGTTTGAACTTATAAATTATTCCAATTTTTTATTGAATCTTTGCATTTCTAATTTATTTGATATTTTTCATGATAAGAAACGAAAAACTAGGTTAGCATGAGTAATAAGTTTAATAAATCTTTTGATCCCGCTTCTTAAAAATAAAATATATATAATTAATATTTATTATATTAAGGTTTTCAGAACCTAATGACATATAATAATTTAGCATCAAGTTTTGATACATGCGGTGGATGTAAATTTTCAATATCTAGGACAGGGAGAAGGGGTTTCCTAAACTTACAGGGAATACTTAGGAATAGTTAATATCAATATATCTGAATATAATGTCCCCCTAGCTCCAGGGACAATATTTATCTTTACAAGTCTCAACTTAACATTGTTACATTCAGAAAAAAAAACATGTACAATACAAGTAATTGGGTAATTACTAACAATGTTGCCAGCTTGACAATTTATTCCCAATTTAGAGAGTTCTGGGAAAGTAAATATGCATGGTGGAACTTAGAAATTTTCTCTGAAACCACTAAAATTCGAAACTAAAAATTACATTTACTTTTTTAAAACTAAATATTAAAAGGAATAAATAAGTGTTAAAATTAGAACACCATATATGCAGATATTTCCTTTAAAAGAGAGTTGACAACCCTGAATTCATGAAAAAGAGTTGACAACCCTGAATTCATATTTAAAAGTTGGCAACCCTGAGTTCATAATTTAGAGTTGGCAACTCTGAATTCATAATGTACAGTTGGCAATCCTGAATTCATATTTCAGAGTTTGCAACCCTGATTTCAAATTTTAGAGTTGGCAACCCTAAATTCATATTCTAGAGTTGGCAACCCTGAATTCATATTTTTAATACATTGTTTAAAGTTGGCAACTCGGAATCCATATTTTAAAGTTGGCAACTCTTAATTCGTATTTTAGAGTTGGCAACCCTGAATTCATATTTTAGAGTTGGCAACCCTGAATTCATATTTAAGAGTTGGCAACCCTGAATTCATATTTTAGAGTTGGCAACCCTGAATTCATATTTTAGAGTTGGCAACCCTGAATTCATATTTTAGAGTTGGCAACCCTGAATTCATATTCTACAGTTAGCAAAACAAAATTTTATTAATAGGGATTTCAACCCTAAACTCAAAATCTGTTGTTGACAAGTGGCAACCCAGAATTCATAAAATAGGGCAACCTTGAATCTAAGAATGAAAAAAGACTGAAAAGGAATAAGACTCCCAGCTTTGTTATCTTTAAATAGCATACTAGTCCCAACACAGTTATGACAGAATATTTGGTTTTGATGTTCACGCAAGCTGAGAAGTTAACAGTTATATAATAAGTTAAAGATCAATCTTCAGATCTACAGGTTTCAGAATAAAGAATTCCACTCCACATCCTTCTCTTCAAGTTCTGATATTCTGGAGTAGGTTTAAAAGGGGGAACATCTTTAGGTTAAAATGACGTTTGATCCGACACTAAATCTGTACACGTCTAAAATAAAATATTTTACAGGAATTACTAAAAGTATTTCAAGGATTAAGTTGGGATTAGGTCAACATTCAACAATGCCTGGAGGTAGGTTATGATTGAAAGAAACGAAAATTTAGAGAAAAAAAGGTTATAGGGTGGCAATGTGATAATTTAGCAATTTATTAATATAGGTTGGAAACGTTAGAACATGGTTGACAGTGTTAGAATAATATGTAGGGTATAAGAAAATATGATGGGAATGAGAAAATATGATGGGAATGAGAAAAACGAAGAATTCCAGGAAAATATCGAATAATAAATAACAAGAAAAACAATAATAATGAAGATTGAATCTGTGCGTGCTGTATAAGTTTGTAGAGAACATGTCAAGAAATTAATCCTGGCATATTAATAATAAGGAATGTATCTTCAACTTTATCTCTAAGAATCCCTCAGGGTATGCATTCGTGCATTATTCTAGAGATACTGGTATCCAGCCACTATTCTAGCGATACTAGTATCCACCCAATATCTAGGGATACTTGTATCCAGCCACTATTCTAGAGAAGCTTGTATCTAGCCAATATCGAGGGATACTTGTATCCAGCCACTATTCTAGAAATACTTGTATCCAGCCAATATCGAGGGATACCTGTATCCAGCCACTATTCTAGCGATATTTGTATCCAGCCACTATCTAGGGATACTGTATCCAGCCAATATCTAGGGACACTCATATCCAGCTACTATCTAGGAATACTTGTATCCAACCACTATCTAGGGATATAATTGTATCCAGCCACTTTCTAGGGATACTTGTATCCAGCTACTATCTAGGAATACTTGTATCCAATCACTATCTAGGGATACAATTGTATCCAGCCACTATCTAAGGATACTTGTATCCAGCCACTTACTAGGAATACTTGAATCCAACCACTATCTAGGGATATAATTGTATCCAGCCACTTNGAATAGTCCGGAGAAGTGAATTTTCGTCCTCTAGTCAGACTAGCAGTAGAACTCATTTTTGAAATAGTCCGTTTTCGTAGATACATTATTTTCAAGTATGTTTATTCCTGAATACTTTTATTCAATAAATATGAATGCATGTATCCACACACTATGGATTCTTGCATCGAGTGTCAAAGGATACTTTATCCACTATCTAGTGATATTTATATCCAATATCTAAGGATACTTATATCCATTAATTATATATACTTATATATCCAATATCTATGAATCCACTAACTATGGGTACATGTGACCAGTATTCTTAATCCTTTATTTATTTTTGTAAGAACTCAAGGATTTTCGGACATTGTTGTAAAACCTTAAAGGGACTTTAAACGTAATTTCAAGGGGCCCTAAATATATATTGTTTAATGTCCGATTCACAACAGTGGTCTCAAAAGCTTGGCTTGATCAGGAATAAAGAGATATCCATTATTTTTCTTTGAAATATTGGTTTATTTCAATCGTAGATTTTCTATAAAAATTTCTAGAAAATTTCTTGCTCTTGAAATTGTTACGGTCCCATCGAATAGGAATTATATTTAGATATTACATTGGAACTAGGTTTTTATTTCTGTGTAGCTGAAAATATTTATTATAATATTTATTTATACTGACGGACGACGAAATAAAAGCATTAAAAACCCACTTCTTTGGGAGGATAATTTTGTTTGAAGTATAAAGAGAAGATATTCTTTTAGATAAAAATAATTGTAAATCCTTTATTCTAGTCTAGTTGTCGACTATCCAATAAACCTAGCTCTAATTACTAAACCTACCCATTCTCAAGTTTAGAAAGATTATCTACCCCTGCAGCTGCTATAGTATCTAGCCCTGTTGCAGCTAAGCTTTTAAGAGCAGTATGAGCAGCGTTATTATGACTTGACTCCAAGTTAGGTCCAGAACCATGGGAAACCTGAAGTAAAAACATTTTGTAGATACTTAATAGGTACAAAAGTTGCACAAACATTTCTTTTTCCTCAAAAAACCTGTCATTCTTTATAAAATATAATCTCGTGAACAAGATCTTGAGAAAATTAAAAAAGTATTGCAAATCTCTCTGAAGCTCTGGTAGGCCTACCTGAGCAGGATTAGTAGATAGAGAAACTAGGGTAAGATATTCTCCCTTCTTTGGAAAATCATCGTAAGTTACAGTCACTCCAAGAATCTAAAAATATCAATACATTAGTAAGTGTGCCAAGTTCAACTATATGTTCTTGTTGCAGTATTAATGAGTTTTTAAGTATCATGCACTATAGTTCACAACAAATTGTGTCACCAATCTTCTGAAAGACACGCTCTTAAATACAAGACAAATAATCTCCTAAACGTAAAAAATAGAAAATTTCATTGTCTATACAGAGGATTTTGTGGTTTCAGATTTTTGTCTCTTCAGGAGTTGGTCATTTCAGAGTTTGTCATGGCACCAATATTGGTTGCGTCTAGTGCTAATCTTTCAGAGTTTGTCATGGCACCAATATTGGTTGCGTCTAGTGCTGATCTTTCAGAGTTTGTCATGGCACCAATAATGGGTCTAGTGCTGATCTTTCAGAGTTTGTCATGGCACCAATAATGGCTGCGTCTAGTGTTGATCTTTCATAGTTTGTCATGGCACCAATATTGGTTGCGTCTAGTGTTGATCTTTCAGAGTTTGTCATGGCACCAATATTGGTTGCGTCTAGTGTTGATCTTTCAGAGTTTGTCATGAAAATCATTTCACTTACAGATATAATATTCTATAGGACAATTGAAAATAAGTATATGTTGTGTTTTCTTATTTAAAATATTCTATCTATAAAATTTAGTACTGATATAATAAACAATAGGAGAATATCAAAATAAATAAAAGAGGTTCTAATAGGTCTTTAACACTAATTTAATCCATAAAATAACTAGAGAGGATATACATACAGGGTTATTCACAATGTATGAGATTTAAATGAGGGTCTGGAATTTCTGGAATACCAAGAAATAACATGAATTGAAGAAGCAAATGATGCCTTCGAAGTATTTTCCTTTTTTATAATGTGGAAAATATTGTCGTTTTTCTAGATTGAAAAGTGCTTAATTCTGTTAATTGCTCCATTGCTTCTGAAGCAAGGAAAGGACAAGTCACACATGTAGAGAATTCAGAAATTTACCAGTTTTCAAAAACAAAACACATGGACCAAACTTGATCAGACATATCTTTAAGGGTAGCGTTGTCAATCGGGCATGCCACTCTATCAACGGAGGGCCACTTGAAATTGCGTTTATAGTCCCTTAAAATAAACAACAGTTGTCAATAAATTCTAAAAATATAAACGGCAAACAGTTTTTTTAGATAGAAATAAAAGTACAGGAAATCTTCAACACAAACTATTTGTATTAACAGTGTTCAGAATAAAGAAAATATAAGATTGGTTCTGATTATTTACTCTTATCTATTTATAATGTATATTTAGATAGATAGATAGAATATTCAGTCCTCTTATCTCCGATAAATATTATTGTTCCAGTAAGGGTAATATCCCCTTTCCTCCCCTCATGGATGATAAATGACAAACAATTTTTCAATATTAGGTTTTTCTCCGAACGTCCCGTGAAAAATAGTTTAAACAAGAATGTATGTTGGTTTATGAAACAAAAATCTTTGTCTAAAAAAGTTTAAGATTTTGTGGAGGATAAAGAAAATGTGTGTATACTAAATATTTGAGTAGATTTGTTAGAACTTGAACACTGTTGAAAGTTAATTTTAGTGTCGGAAATTGTTAACTTTCATTGAGAATTTAGTTACAAAAAAAATATATCAAGTTTCCTTATGAAATATAAAAGGAGGATAGAGCAGGGGAGTAAACAATGTGATAAACAATATCTTTTTAATCAACTTTTTAGGTGCAAGATTATCAAAGAAAATGAGTTTTGCCACAAACTCTGATTTTCAATCCTTGTATCATTGCAACCCAATGTCGTAGAATTTTAACATTTCAAATTATGAATTTCAAATGGATTAAAAAGTCTAAGTTTCAATTATCAAAAGTCTAACCAAGATTGCAAAGATATAACGATTGGAAAATTTGAGTTTGTAGCTAAGGCTCATTTTCTTTGTTTGTTGATTTTTTCCTTATAATTTTTCTAAACATTATTTTTTTGTATAGTTTAGTGCATAAATTTTTACAGAAAAAAGTTCTAAATGTTGGTTTCTTATTTTTATGGATCAGTATTATCTGGTCCAAGTTCAAAAACCTTTAAATGCATAAAAAAGATTTAGTTTATTTCTATTACTAGGTATATATATGAACGAAAAGGGAGGAAGGAAAAGGAATTTTTACAATTTTATTAATTTTTTCTTTGTTTTTTTTTGAACTTTTAAAAATGATTTTTCTTTAGATAATGTTAAAAGGCAAGGATCTCCCACCTCCAAGGGAACATCAACAAGCTAATATTAAGATTATTCGAATAGATAATCTAACAAATTAGAAATAGGATATTATCGAACAGTATATTGCTGAGTCAGACTCAGAAAAAAAGATTTTTAGTGGGAGGAAGAAGAACCATATTTAAACTATTTGTGACAATCAGGCTGTTTTTGACCGGTAGAAATGAATCCAGAAGTTAAAAAAACAAGAGCTCTTTTGGGACATCCTTCATTCTACATCATACATCCTGCATTTACATCCTATAACTTGCATTTTAAATCCTGTCTACTGAATTCTACATTCCACTTTCTGCATCCTACATCCTGCATCCTAGATCTTCCATCAAGCATATAACATTTTTACCCCTTGTATCTTAGATCTCGCATCCTGCATCTTACATTCTGCATTCTATATCCTACATCTTGCATCCTATATCTTACATCCTACATCCTACATCTTGCAACCTATATCTTACATCCTACATCCTACATCCTACATCCTACATCCTACATCCTACATCCTACATCCTACATCCTAGATCCTACATCCTAGATCCTATATCCTACATCCTACATCCTACATCCTAAATCCTAAATCCTAAATCCTACATCCTACATCCTACATCTTGCATCCTACATCCTACATCCTACATCTTGCATCCTATATCTTAGATCCTTTATCTTAGATCCTATATCTTACATCCTACATCTTATATCCTACATCTAATATCCTACACCATACATCCTTTATATAAAGAAGACGTTTCGAAAAATGCTTCAACTCAGAATTTCCTCCCCTCGAGCATCCTTGAAATTATCTCTGGATGTTACGGTAGACCAAAACATCTCACATCATCCCACAGAACTCATCAGTAATTAATTTTTTAACTTTTTTAAACATCAAGAATTTTCCAAAAATCAACTTTAATTATATAAATTTTGCTTTACGCTTGGAACTGGTTCATGTTGGAGTTAGTTCTTTCCATTTTATTACTTGTTGTGTGAGCTTTTTTGGTTTACCGATTAACATTTTGGTCTTTTCTTTTTAAAATCCAATGTGATTCAAAAAAATAAAGCAGAACACATATTTTTTTTAAATAAAAAATTGTATCAAAAGTAAAAAAAGCTGAAAATCCTTCAAGAACATTTCATCCAACAAGTGTTAAGAACAAGGTTGTCTCCTTTTCATTTCAGTTCCTAAATCTTGCATCCTACATCTTGCATCTTACATCTTACATCTTACATCTTACATCTTACATCTTACATCTTACATCTTACAATTTTAAAAAATCTTTGATATGCTATATCCCCAACTGGATAGAATTTTAAAAGGATATAACTTGAGTCAAGTTCTTTTCTTCAAATAGAATTTTAGAATAAAATCCAACCCATGTAGTGTATATAGTATAGGACGACCTGTAGTGTGTATAGTATAGGACCTGTAGTGAGTATAGTATAGGACCTGTAGTGAGTATAGTATAGGACCTGTAGTGTGTATAGTATAGGACCTGTAGTGTATATAGTATAGGACCTGTAGTGAGTATAGTATAGGACCTAACTTTAAAGAAAACTTGAGCTCCCCTGGGGGGGGGGGGGGGGTTGGTGAAGAAAACTTTTAACTTTAACCTCATCAAAATATTATCAGAATGACGGAGATTTATAAATATTTATAAATCAATCTTCTAAGATTCAAATTTATCAAAACTTACCAATACCGTTCTACAGGCTACAAGGAAGGATAATAGTTTGAATACAAAATTAATTCGGAAATTAGAAATTTTTAAGAAAATTCAATTTCCTTTGAGCACAACTGGAAAACTTTCAGAGATAAAATTTCAAAAAAAAACTGGTTTTAAGATTTTTATAGAAAATATAACCTAATTTTTGAAAGCAATACTGCAATTCAATATTCATAGTCCGTATATTATGATTTCATTTACGTTTGAAGATTTAAAAAATTATTTATTTAAAATATAGAAAATAATTTGAAATAACTTGATATAATATTCAATATAGAATGTCAATTCCTTAAGAGAATATTAACCTCAGGTTTTCCTTATATTATTCAAAATATAAAAATGTCACTAATCAAAAATTTCCATACAAAACTAGAAAATGAAAAATTTATAATTTTGCTTCAACGCCCATATAATTTAGGAATTGGTTTACAAAATAAATTTAGCGAGGGTATTCTAATAATCGTAAAAATATAATACAAAAGCTAAACTTGATCAGACAACGCTATTAGTGGAACCAATCTTAATCGGACATGACCATCTTTGCATGGAGGGTTACTTGAAAATACGCTTACAGTCCCTTTAACACTTTACCGATGTTTAATATCATTTGGCATAATTGACATGAATGATTTAGCCTTCAGAGGTAAAAGGGTTTCTGATTGCAAGAAGAACTAGAAAGTAAAGTTGAGAAATGGAACCCGTGGCACTAAGCACCTTGAATTAATAATATTCAGAGAACTTGATTAGTCTTGTCTCGCAGAAATCAGGATTTTCAGGTTTAGTCCCGCGGTCAGAGATTATTAATACTTTAACGGAAGATTTAACATTTTTATAATATAACCAAATATGTAAATATATATATGTTGTAATAATAATTATAAAAATAACATCAATAACAACAATAACAACAAAAACAACAGCAAACGATAACGATAACGATAAATATAACGATATTGATATTGATATTGATAATGGTAGTTAAAAAAGAACATAATCATAACGGTCATGATCAGCTAAAGTAATGCACCCGACCAGAACTGAAGTCCTGATATAAAACCAACCTGAGCTAGATATGAAAGCTGTTCTTTGGATGAAACGCCTTGCCCTGACGTAGGAAGTTTTAGTACAGGGGCGGGCAGATTTGTACCCGCCTCTTTAGCTATCTTGTCGGCGGTTGGTGACGTCCCTGCATCAAGCAGTTCTTTTGCAATGGTAGCAACCTTAAAAAAAACATATAATCTGTAAATATCTACTCTGATATTATTAAAAAAAAATTTTCTCTTCTTTAATTTCATGAATTAAATAGTTTATATTTTTGATTTTGTTCAAATTTTCTCCCATAATACATATTAAAGCGAAATCGTTTTAATGTAACAGGGAAAATGGACATTTATTTTTTTCGAAGAATTATATGGAACGATGATACAAATTTCCGGAGGAACATATCAAAACATGGTTCGAAGAACTTTAAAATGTAAAAATTTTTTTAAAATCAAATAATTTAAATTCCAGGTAAATTATATATTTGGTTCTCATGATACTTTGAAAATTTATATATTTCTAGATTAAAAAGATATTTCATATTTCAGTGCCCAGGGCCCAGGGGCGTTTACAGGAATTTGCCCAACATGTGGGCCTTTTTAGACATTTCAGGGGGGGGGGGGTCAGCCCTCGGTGCATGTTATGTGTTTGTTTTCAATTCTAAGGAAGAAAACTTGGAAAAATAAATTGTGAATAGGAACTAAATAGTCGACACAAACTTTAACTCTTGTATCTTTGCAACCTCGGCTGAGATTTTAAAAGCTTAAACCCGAGTAAAACACGAACTTGGGCTCATATAGAACCCAAGTCAGGATTTGTTCTGATTGGACCAATGAGAGACTGCTTAACAAGCTTTCTCTCTGTAGCAGACAGATTAATAGCAGATCAGCTGTGACGAGGAGATGTAAATTTCGAAAATTCGAACTTTTCGTAGATACATTATTTTCAAGTATGTTTATTTCATACCTTTATTCCCGAGATTTTAAATATACCAATATAGCAGTTTTACGAAATTTACGATCATCAGCGTTTGAAGACCCGAGTCCTAAAGAGCGAAAAACCCAAAGAGGTTGGTTTTTACTAAACTCAAGTCCATCCTGAACCCAAGTCTTTACTTGGGTATAAGAAGACGCTAAGACCGGGTTTTACTAAGTTTAAGGAGTTTGATCAGTTCCTTAACAAATAAAGAGGAAATGAACGAAATTGTTGAACAGCTAATGCCAGGCAACGCAGGCCAAGATCTTTAGCATCAACATTTTACAGAAAGATAGGATCAATGCCAACAATCACAATGCTTAGTTTCCAAGTCAATAATAAGGTTAATGAATAACCCTTTTATAACTATCATAGAAAACATTTAAAGGAACTCTACGCAAAATTTCAAGTGACCCTTCAATGCAAAGATGAACCTGCCATATTTACAAAAGTGACTGCAGGAAAACATTTAAGGATTATAACAATTCAATACTTTTAAACCTAGAAAAATGACAATTTCTTCCACTCAATATTGATCAGATAAAAGGTTTCAAGGGTACTGTTGTGAATCCAGCATTGATATCTTCGCAATTACGCCAACAGTCCCTTTAAGTTTTAAGATATCCAAACTTTGAATGTTTGAACTTTGTTAAATTAAAATTCATAATTTGTGTGAAATATTTCAACACTTCTCTCAACTTCTTGTCAGCTTCCTTCACATCATGGAAATGTCAACAAGAAATAGAATAAAAAAAACCTTGAAGAGAAAGAAAAGAGTTGATGGAACTTATTTTAACCAAAATTCAAATCTATTCAAAAGCCTTTAAATCTTAGCAAAATCAGTAATATTGAACATATGAAGAGTCGAAATTGCGAAATTTTTAAATGTCAGATATATCGATCTAAGATAAAGCCTGCAATTTTTATGCCATTCATTACATTTACAATATTTTTTTACTTATTTACTTCACTTATTTACTTCACTCATTTCTTTTATCAGACCTCGGAAACACCAAGAAAATTTCTGTTCAGTCGTTAAGAGCATTTTTTTACTCAAATATATCGAAAGTCCCAGTTGGAGGATATATGTATTTATAATATAAAAATTGTACCCCCTTCCCTTCTATAAGTTTATTTATCCCCTGAATCCAACATGATTCCGTAGAAACTATATTCACCTGGGACTGAGATGGACTTTTACACTCAGCAGAAAGTTTTCCGTTTGAAACCTTTAGACTAGAGACCTAAATATCAAATTCTAAATTTAAATTTTATTCTTGGAAAAATATTGGTTTTGGACAGAAATTGAATATAGAAAATATATCTATGCACCAAAAAGAAATCTCAATACTTGTGTAAACTTTAAGTTGAAAGGTAAATAAACTTTAATACATAAAAAAATAACTGCAATTAATTAATAATTAAACTGAAGAACTACACGAATGAAACAAAGGTTACCTTTCCATTGATGTTAGCTGTTTTATCGTCTATGTAGAGTAGGCCAGGAACTAGCTGTCGTCCTGCAGGTCCGCTTCCTGTGCTAGATTTACCACCTGGAGAACTGGAGACAGGAACAGAACCAGCTGAAGTTCCATCCTCGATCTTCAAGTCATCAACGAATGTTAACTGAAATAATGTCTGGGTTAAGTTCTGAATCCTAGATGTAGATTTTAGAAGCAGGTTCAGATGTAGCAGCGTCCAAGAATAGATAATTTCTCTAATACTAAAATGATATCTCCAACTACGAATTGAGTAGAGAGGCATTATTAGTTCTTGTTCCCTGGATAATAGTTATTGTAGTCCCGATAAGTCGGACTAAAAAATCAATTCCTAATAAAATAATCCAGAGATCGTGAATATTTGTCCTCTAATCCTGAGGTCGTTAGGATTAGTCCACATGTCTGATTGAAATAGTATTTATGTCGTGATCTTTCGTCCTCTAGTCGGACTAGCAGTATAGATCTTATTTGAAAAGACCGGAGTAGTGAATATTCTTCTTCTAGTCAGACGAGCAATAGAAGACTTGATTTTGATAGTCAGAGTAGGGAATATTCGTCCTCTAGTCGGACTAGCAATAGAAGTCCTGTTTTAGATAGTTAGAATAGGGAATATTCGTCTTCTAGTCAGACTAGCAGTAGAACTCCTGGTTTGAAAATTCCGGAGTCGTGAATATTCGTCCTCTCGTCAGACTAGCTGTAGAATTCCTGATTTGAATAGTCCGGAGAAGTGAATTTTCGTCCTCTAGTCAGACTAGCAGTAGAACTCATTTTTGAAATAGTCCGGAGTTGTGAATATTAGTCCTTTAGTCAGATTCGCAGTAGAATTCCTGATTTGAATTGTCCGCAGTTGTGAATATTCGTCTTCTAGTCAGACTAGCTGTAGAATTCCTGATTTGAATAGTGCACAGTAGTGAATAATCGTCTTCAGTTAGACTAGCAGTAGAACTCCTGGTTTGAATAGTCGGGAGTAGTGAATATTCGTCCTCTGTTAGGACTACTGGGAGCTGGTGCACGAAGTGAAAGATGGATTTCATCTACCAAGATTTTACGTCAGAAAATAAATCTCAAAAAAATCTCATTGTCTTGAAAATCAAGAAAATGATGAGTGTAAGCTATGAGAACCATATTTCCCAATATTTTGGTTTTCCTATCGTATTGCTGTAGTAAAAATTAATTTTGACCCTAAACAAAAAAATTTAATACGTTGATTTTTAAAATATTTCCAAAATATTGCGTAAACTACCCAATTTTTCACAAAATATGTTTTCCCTTATCCCCTTCCCCCCTCCAGATTGAAGAATATAGACTAAACTCAATTATTATTCACATCTAAGGAAGATTAATTATCATTAGATTGAAAAATAAACATATTACGTAGATTAGAAGGTTTAAATTAATAAAATCTGAGGTAAATATGTTTATACATTAAAATATTAATAAAATCAGGGAAGAATATGTTTATATATTAAAATATTAATAAAATCAGGGAAGAATATGTATATATATTAAAATATAATAAAATCAGGAAAGAATATGTTTATATATTAAAATANTCTTTGTCACAAACTCTGATTTTCTAATACCTATATCTTTGCAATCCAATTTCGTAGACGTTAGATATTTCAAACTATGAATGCTGTTAGATCAAATAGCCTAAGTTTGAAATATCAAAGGTTTCCAGCATTAGGTGACCAAGATATTAGGATTAGAAAATTTGAATTTTAGGCAAGTTTTATAATTACTTTGAAAATATTTTAAAGAAGAATTGTCGATATACGAAGCAAGAACTTCAATGATAGATAGTTCTGATTTAAAAAAAATTTTAAATGATTTATGAAAAAGATGTAAAATTTCCTTGTTTGCAGAATGAGCACCAGGAACAGTTATATTCACTGCAAAGTGAAAGAACTGGAAACATTTTACAGTTTGGACTTTTGACCTCAAAATTTTTACTTTCAGGGTCATCAGGGTATAATACACCAGAGTTTAAAAATTTCAGGGTATACACCAGAGTTTAGAAGTTTCAGGGTATACACCAGAGTTTAGAAATTTCAGGGTATACACTAGAGTTTATAAATTTCAGGGTATACACCAGATTTTATAAATTTCAGGGTATGCACCAGAGTTTAGAAATTTCAGGGTATACACCACAGTTTAGTAATTCCAGGGTATACACCAGAGTTTAGAAATTTCAGGATATACACCAGTTTAGAAATTTCAGGGTATACACCAGAGTTAATAAATTTCAGGGTATACACCAGAGTTTAGAAATTTCAGGGTATACACCAGAGTTTAGAAATTTCAGGGTATACACCAGAGTTTAGAAATTTCAGGGTATACACCAGAGTTTAGAAATTTCAGGGTATACACCAGAGTTTAGAAATTTCAGGGTATACACCAGAGTTTAGAAATTTCAGGGTATACACCACAGTTTAGAAATTCCAGGGTATACACCAGAGTTTAGAAATTTCAGGGTATACACCAGAGTTTAGAAATTTCAGGGTATACACCAGAGTTTAGAAATTTCAGGGTATACACCAGAGTTTAGAAATTTCAATTATGTAGCTTAATGGAACCAAAATTTAAACAGGGAAACAACAGAAAATTTAAGATTCATTAAGACTTCATTAAACCTTTTCTCGACTAAAGTTTAGGCAAACTTTATACCTTACAAAAAAGTTTTTCTTTTGTATTTCAGAGGTGTTACAAGGTGATTTACAAAGGAATCCACAACAGGTTTTTAAAATCTTTGAGATTTGCGCTTCAAATGGCTTTTAAAATTATTTAAGATTTAATTCTGATATTTTGAAACCAGCTGGTAGGTTCCCTGAATTAAATATTATTTACATTTAAATAATATGAAGAGTGTTAATCTTCAAGATATTTTGTTCCTAATGCAATTTCTTTTAAAATATCAAAAAAGATTTACCAAAAGTATTATTCGGAATATAGATTTGCAATAATAAATTTGGAAGAAAACTAGAAAAAAAGCCAATAAGGTAATTATATTTATAATCATAAGTAAAAATATGTATAGTTTAAAAGAAAAACTTGAGTTTTAGGAAACATAGTTTTATTTTGAGAAATTCCAAAAATCATTTAACTATTTTATTTTGATATGTAAGTTTGTTTCTAAAGCCAGAAAAGAAAAAATATATGCTAAATACACAATGGGCTGGATTCTAGTTTTTATTCAAAAAATAAGTTTCCACTTAGTGGTTTTTATTATTTCAACTACTTCACAGGTAAGTTAATGGATTTTTACTTTACCAAGAGTTCCCAAGACTAATTTTGCCTACAGAACATCCATCGCTAGGAGGTTGAAGAGGCAGAATTGACCGAGGGAACCCATGGTTAAGTAAAATATGTCATTTCCCGAAAAAGTAGTACAAAATAATATCGTCTTTTGAGATAAAATATGCAAATTTTTTCACTAAAACTTTGCAGAGTGTGTGTCATTAATTTGGTAATGTTGGTCAAAAGGTAGTAAAAATATTTACCCCATTGATGACCTAGTAACCATGTTGTAAACTTGAAGAACCTTGAATTTTAATATTGGTGTAAATAATGAACTGTAAGATGAACCTAAGAAAACTAGAAAACACATAGCAAAGAAGATTACCCAAAGGACTGACAAAATGGGAACATTCTTAAAGTAAATCCAAAAGTTGGAAGAATCCAGGGAGAAATTATATCATAAAGATTAACGAGATATTTTCTAACTCAGAGAAAAAAAAAATCTTTATTTTTTTAGAAAGTAAATATTTTAAGAACAAAAATGAGTATGGATTAGTTTTTCCGATTACCAAAAAAACAACCCTTTAATTTATGTTAAAATCCATACAATTTAAATTTGTTATCTTACACTTAACACCAAAAAAAAAAGATGTTTTTAAAAAATATTTTCAAAACTCGAATTTGAATTCTGTTAAAATTCAAAATGCTAATTTTACTTTAAACTTTAAAACATGATCCGAATATTTAGATTTGTCTCACAAAAGTATGTTTTTTGACTTTACGAAAGTGATACAATAATAACATTTTGAAAATATTCTTTTCAAAGAAAAAAGCAAGTAAGCTTTGAAAAATAACAACTTTCTCTTAATAATATTTTGTGAGAGAGCTGATTTTTGCTTCAGTTTTCAACTTCATGTTGTTGTTATTTTTTCTAAAATTATAGTGAACAAATCTGAAATATCTTAGGTTATCTAAATAAACTTCAAACATGGTACATTTAGTTATCAAGCTTAACTTCCAAAAAATCCGCTAACTGCGTTCTGGAAATTGGCAGGCACAAATGATCATTTTTTTTAGATGAATCATAAATTTTAAGTTAAAGGTTAAAGATCCAGAGAGTCACTTATAATTATGTATACAGATCCTTTAAGATGGGAAAATATCTTACATTTATTTAATCTTGAAATTCTGCAAAGTGCATACAATAAGATATTGAGTTACCCCGGAAACCCTAGTCCATACTCTAATATATCAAATATGGTAAAGTTTTGAAGTTACAACAAATGTTCAATTGCTTTGAGAATTATGTTTAAAGTTAAGTGTAATAGAAACAGAAAAGGAAAGACTGAAGACAGTATCAATTGAAATTTGATCAAGCTTGAAAATCTGAAATAATTCAGAATTTTATTCATATTTGGATTGGATTTAATTTAAAATATTTTAGAAATATAGATTTTTGGATTTTATCCTCACACCATTTCATCAGGATCCGTCCCAAGCTTGGGTTCTTGTGCTGATCTAGGATCCATAATTGGCGTTTTCTCACTAGTGACTAGTCTAAAGTTGCTTAGATCCCTCCAGTCTTTTGTTCACACCACAGATTAGTCTAAAGCTGACTCAGATCAAGCCAGTTTTTTCTTCATATCATAGAGTAGTATTGAGAAACTAGATGAGGATATTCAAGAACAAGCAGAAATATACAACGTGGCAACTTTTTCCTTTTCCTTTTAGATTCTACTTTATCTAGTATGCATTATTCCATTTTTTAATCTAATCCTACAATAAAGAAGAGATTACAGTGGCACAGTGTGGAAAAATGATATGTCCAAGTGTGGTGAAGAGGAGAATAAAAATATATCATCTTATTCTTCAGAGTTTTTCCTAATTTTCGTCCTATAATGATAATATTTAGTACACAATATAGAAACCAATATAAGACTAAATGATAAATATATGTGTACATATATGTAGTGATAAATTAAAGTGCTAGGAAATAAAAAAGCGGTAGGAAAAGTAAATCCTTTCTGGACATTTTCTCAACATAAATCAACAGGTAGAATCTTCATTCTACGCAATATGTATTTCTTATTGTTGACAAAGGGTTTAATTTAAGTGAATGTTCAGATATTTGAAGACACACAGAGCAGACAAATCGTTAAATGAAAGAACAGACCCATCCCTTTGTTTAAAGATAATTCTGCAGGCTAAAAACAATGGTTGGAAATGTTCTGTATTTTATATTAAGATTTAAAGAATCTTCTTTACTGATTTCGAATAGATTTAAACTTGGATAAATGTGAGAAGGGGGAAGTGCATTTGAAACTGTTTACACAGGAAGTTTACATAAATCTTACTGCCAAAATTTGAGAGGAAATGTCAAGAGAACAAAGTTTTTTGTTCACAAATGAAACACTTTTTTTCTTTGGTTAGTTTCTCATTTAAACATTATTTCATTTATCGCACAATTGTCAAATTCAAATTTTCTGTAATTTAATTCTTATGAAATAATTTTTGTCTGTTTTATTTTAACCAGGGTAGTAACTCACCCAAAATGTAAACTTTGCCGAATAAGGTAAATATGCTTTTTTTTGACTGAGATAGGTTCATAATGAGTTAGGCTAAGACATGTTAAGGGCCCTGAGATGATTTAATGGTGGCCTAGAGTGGGGCCGCGCACTGCACTACTCATTATTTAGAAAATGAAAAGTTCGCCAGTTAATTTTCTATTACTAGGTTGAACTTAGTTGAGAAAATGTCAAGTACCCAACATCCTTTTCTAGCTATATCTAATCTATACCTATACTCTATACCCTATACCCTAAACCCTGCACAACCTTCACCCTATACCCTACACCCTACACCTATACCTAAACCAATACCTATATCTAATCTATACCTATACTCTATACCCTATACCCTAAACCCTGCAACCTTCACCCTATACCCTACACCCTAAACCTATAGCTAAACCAATACCTATATCTAATCTATACCTATACTCTATACCCTATACCCTAAACCCTGCAACCTTCACCCTATACCCTACACCCTACACCTATACCTAAACCAATACCTATATCTAATCTATATCTATACTCTATACCCTATACCCTATACCCTGCAACCTTCACCCTATACCCTACATCCTACACCTATACCTAAACCAATACCTATATCTAATCTATACCTATACTCTATACCCTATACCCTAAACCCTGCAACCTTCACCCTATACCCTACATCCTACACCTATACCTAAACCAATACCTATCTTTAATCTATACCTATACTCTATACCCTATACCCTAAACCCTGCAACCTTCACCCTATACCCTACACCCTACACCTATACCTAAACCAATACCTATATCTAATCTATATCTATATCTTTCTGTTCTTCTAAATGTAATGATAAATAAATACTTCTAACACTGTTTAAATATTTATATCCCTCCCAAATTACTATTCAGTGCTCTAGACTAGTACACTAATAGAATATATCAGCTAGGAGGAGACCAACGTGTATCTTATTGCTAAAGGTATCCGAATCATAATCATAATAATGGTATACAAGATAATTTGACAAAGAATAAAATAATTAACAGTTACTGGGAACCAAAACTGCAAATTCAGTACATTTTTGATTGTCTCTAGAGACTTATCCTTAGTGGTAACCCTGTGTATCTCTAAAACGATTAGAGATGGAATTTAAAGAAATTAAGCCACGGTTTAAATCCGCCAAAACCCGGTTTAAATTAAGCGCCGGCTTAAATCTTGAAACATTTGATACAATTTTAAGTGGAACCAACCATATTTAAACCACGGCTTAAATTTAAACCGCCGCTCAAATTCTTTAAATTCGACTAAAGATAACAAAATCCTTCGCAACTTTGAAATTTAATTCTAAGAATTATAGGTGACAACTACAACTAAGCTTTACCCTGGATTTCACTTATATATATAAAACCTTTTACTTAACGTAAAGGTACCCAGGAATCAATCCTGTAAAAAGGACAGAGTTTGCTCGAAGAAGCACATCCCGATCGTTAGTGCTGTGGTCGGCACCTCCCGGCTTATCATGGCTAACAACTGGCTCAATCAAAGAAACTACTCAGAAACTTTCAATACTTTCCTAAAATGATCATCAGAAAAAAATCAGTAATAACGATTCATATTAATTTATTCATATTTTAAATAAGAGGTTCAATCTAAAATGGTGGAATATCTTATTATTTCAAAGGAATAAGTGAACTTAGTTTACTCAACAGGTTTTAATCTGTTGGCCAAAGTAGATTATATATCAATCAAAATATGAAAATAAACTCTTTTACTACTACCTAATTTTGTATTTTTCTCCTTGAATATTTACTTTGAATAAAAAAAATATTCTGAAGAAACCACTTTTTAAATCTGACGTTGTTAGCTTTGTCATAATGGTATGACAGCCAGAGGCATGTTCCATTCTACAAGAGAATATAAATATGCAGAATTCAACAGAAAAAGAAAAATCTATAAAATTTTGCAATTCTAATTTTGTACAAATGTGACCATATTTACACAGTTTACACAAAAATTCTAAATTTTTTGTAAATCTGTTCAACGGTTTTCTTAATCTTTTAATTGTTTAGATTTATTTTAAAATAAAAAGTTTCTTAACACAATTAAGATATTTGGGATCTAGTCTATTTCATTCTTTATAAACTCCCCCTCAATCAACTAAAGCTTTCAGAAGTCGTGTCCATATACAGGGGATTTTTTTACTTTTAAAGAAACTAAAAAAGAAAAAAACTGGAGCAAATTTTAACTTTACTATTGAAAACAAGTCGCCACTCTGACCACTGGTCGTGAGTCTTCAGATAATAACATGACTATGATGAATTATTTTGACAATTTAAAATCTTAATATTAAGATATAGGAGAGTAAATACTGTGGTTTTGGAGAGTGAACATTGAGGTATTGGAGAGTAAATACTGAGGGGATGCAAAATAAATCCTAAGGTTTTGGAGAGTGAATATTGAGGTATTGAAGAGTGAATACTGGGGTATTGGAGAGTAAATAATGAGGTTTTGGAGAGTGAACATTGAGGTATTGGAGAGTAAATACTGAGGGGATGCAAAATAAATCCTAAGGTTTTGGAGAGTGAATACTGAGGTATGGGAGTGTAAATACTGAGGTATTGGGGAGTAAATACTAAGGTTTTGGAGAGTGAATATTGAGGAATTGAAGAGTTAATACTGGGGTATTGGAGAGTAAATACTGAGGTTTTGGAGAGTGAATATTGAGGTATTGGAGAGTAAATACTAAGGTTTTGGAGAGTAAATGCTAAGGGGATGAAAAATAAATGCTAATGTTTTGGAGAGTGAAAACTGGGGTATGAGAGAATGAATATTATGTTGTGAAGAGGAGAAGGATGAGATTAATACTGAGGTATGGGAGAGATGTTCTCCTTGGTTCAGCCTCTCTCTCCAGGTTCTATTCTAGACATGAGGTTCCCCTACTCCCACCTTACATATTTCGCAACCATGCATCCCCTTCCCCTCCCTTATTTTCTGTCTTGTTTAAGATGAAAACTTAAAGCATTTATTAGAAGTTAAAGGAGCAGACTTCTAAACTTTTAACAGCAATAATTTCTCAACTACTTTCATTAGTTATTTTTGCTGCAAATCAAAAGAGGGAAAACTAATTTGCCAAGTAAACCTATATAGGAGTGGAAGTAAGATTAATTTATTTATATACTAAGTAAATATCGGCAAGAGTAAGTAAACAACAATGTGACATTGTTCAATTTACTTGAGTTTGTATGTTGTATTTATATTGATTATTTAAACTCCCTGCTGACTAGAAATGCTTCTATGAAAAACACATAACTTTCTCTCTCATAAACAAAGATATTTTGGGGGGCATAACGGAATCCGAACCCCTGATCATTAGTTTGGAAACTAGCAATTTCCTGGTTCTCAGTTTAAAAACATTTAGTTACCTGGTTCACAGGTTGGAGACTAGTTATTTCCTGGTTCTCAGTTTGAAAACATTTAGTTCCCTGGTTCACAGTTTGGAAACAAGTAATTTCCAGCTCTTTTGTTTGGAAACTAGTAGTTCCCTGGTTAAAGAGTTTTAAAAGAAGTTCCCTGGTTCACAGTTTGGAAACAAATAATTTCCTGCTCTTTAGTTTGGAAACTTGTAGTTCCCTGGTTCACAGTTTGGAAACAAGTAATTTCCTGTTCTTTAGTTTGGAAACTAGTAGTTCCCTGGTTCACAGTTTGGAAACTAGTAATTTCCTGCTCTTTAGTTTGGAAACTGTAGTTCCCTGTTCTATATTTTGGAACTAGTAATTTCCTGCTCTTTAGTTTGGAAACTAGTAGATCCCTGGTTCACAGTTTGGAAACAAGTAATTTCCTGCTCTTTAGTTTGGAAACTAGTAGTTTCCTGGTTAAACAGTTTTAAAGAAGTTTCCTGGTTAACAGTTTGGAAACTAGTACCCTGGTTAAAAGTTTTAAACTTTAGTTGTTAGAGACAAGACATAGAGTTGATTCTTTTGTTCTCCATCTGTAAAATAAGATATAAAGCTTGTCACAAACATCTGAGCCTTTACACACTAGGGGTAAATTGAAAATATTTTACCATAAAACATATTTTTAAGAAAAAGAATTTACATGTTTAAGATTAAAAATATTAAATGGAAAGAAGCGATATCCTTCATCTTTCAGTGTTTGAAGTATCTTAATATATTCTAATCTTTTCATTAATTTTAATGGAAACTTAATTTTTTATTGAAAATTCCAGTTTTTCAATAAAAGTTACAGCGGATGTATGCAGCAGAGACAAAGACGGAAATTGCCAAAATTTGCTTTTATTCAGAAAGAAAATCGACGATATTTTCCTCATTGTTGGTCGGATAAAGGATTTAATGGTACTGTTGTGAATCAGGAGTACAACTCATTAAATGCAGGGTCACTTGAACTTACGCCGAACTCGAATAACTTTAAGACATAAATATATTTGGTCGAAAAGAGAAGAACTTAGGATTAAAGTTACGAAGAAAGATTTATCCTCGAGTTGAATTCTTATCCTCGGTTGGTTCAAGGATAATTTTATCCCCGGAGAAAAGAAACCTAGTTATCTAATCCTATTTCAGGTTCTTAGGATTTAAGGTTCACTTTCATCTGTCTTATTGTTTGTACCAATATGAGTGAAACGAAGAGGAGTTTGGTTTTGGATATAGAAGGGTTGGGCGCGTTCTACTCATAACTATTGATTAAAGGGACTGTAAGCGTAATTTCTAGTAACCCTCCATGAAAATATGACAATGCCCAATTTACAACGTTAACCTTTAAAAACTAAGTCTGATAAAGTTTTTAAATTGTTTATTTTCATTTGCGGGTTATTGGCGAAAGTGATTTGCGCATTTCTTGTTTATAAGAATTAATGGATAAATTATCAGAAATTAACACTCTTGGAGTCAGGAAAACGACGTTGTCCTTCACATTTTTGAAAAAAATAAGGTTTCAAGGGTACCGGTGTAAGTCAGGCATTGCCATCTTTAGTATGAAAATATGCGTACAGTCCCTTTAAGATAACTTTTATTCCTCCCACCAGTTTCTGATGTAAATGCAATTTAGTTTCACTAGTAGAATACTTGACACAAACATACGTTCAAACCTTTTACTCTCTTGGGTTTTATAATTTTATGGCTTCACCTTGGTTTACTTAGGTTTTTAGCATTCTTTAAATGTATATTATTTTACGTAAAGTTTTGAGACACTTTCTTATCTATAATTGCGTCTAAACCCAACCCCAATGATGTGCATAAATAAAAACTGTATCCAATTGTAAAAAAGAAAATATGAAATGTATGTAGAAGCAGGGATGTAGAATGATTTATCTCGAAATCTATTTATATATTTCCTTTCTCACGTTTTAGGCTCTAGTCTCTGAAGGATAAAATCTAAACTTTAAATTTAATTTCTATTTTTTAAAAACAATATGATGAATTTTCAATGGTGTGCCCTTCAACTGAACAATATATGGTGCATTTTAAATATCTTTTTTAATGAAAGGTTTAACCTAAACCTAAACATTCCATAAGTGATCAAAATACCTTCTCTTTTAAATAATGATGAAGTAAACGAAAAAAGTTCAAATAGAAAATTAAAACAATTCTGATATTTAGTAGTTGTTGTCTGGATAGATTTAAAATTACCTTTTTAGGTTTATCCGAGCTGGGTTCTCCAGGACTTTTTAGAGCAGGTTTAGTTGGAACAGCTCCGGGTCTAGAGTAACCAGTCAGTTGGAGCAGAGCCTAGATACAAAAGATTGGTGCAGTAGAATATATGTAGTACACGCAGAGTTGGGAGCAGTTGAATATTTGGGGGTTAAGCATTGTTGGGAGCAGCAGAATATATGGAGTTTAAGTATCAGTTGGGAGCTGTGGAGTATATGGAGTTTTAGTACAGTTGGGAGCTGTAGAGTGTATGGAGTTTAAGTATAGACGGGAGCAGTAGAATATATGAAGTTTAAGTATAGTTGGGAGCAGTAGAATATATGGAGTTTAAGTATAGCTGTGAGCAGTAGAATATGTAGAGTTTAAGTACTGTTCGGAGCAGTAGAATATATAGAGTTTAAGTATAGTTGGGAGCAGTAGAATATATGGAGTTTAAGCATAGTTGGGAGCAGTAGAATATATGGGAGTTCAAGTATAGTTGGGAGCAGTAGAATATATGGAGTTTAAGTATAGTTGGGAGAAGTAGAATATACGGAGTTTAAGTATAGACGGGAGCAGTAGAATATATGGAGTTTAAGCATAGTTGAGAGCAGTAGAACATATGGAGTTTAAGTATAGTTGGGAGCAGTAGAATATATGGAGTTTAAGCATAGTTTGGAGCAGTAGAATATATGGAGTTCAAGTATAGTTTGCAGCAGTAGAATGTGTGGAGTTAAAGTTAAACTTGGGAGCATTAGAATATATGGAGTTTAAGTATAGTTGGGAGCAGTAGATTATATGGAGTTTAAGTATAGACGGGAGCAGTAGAATATATGGAGTTCAAGCATAGTTTGGAGCAGTAGAATATATGGAGTTCAAGTATAGTTTGCAGCAGTAGAATGTATGGAGTTTAAGTTAAAGTTTGGAGCAGTAGAATATATGGAGTTTAAGTATAGTTTGGAGCAAAAGTTTAGTTGGGGGAGCAGAATATATGGAGTTAAATACATAAATAACTCAATGATGGGTATTGTAACACTGATCTCAAAATTCATGTTTTTAATATATATTAAATGTTAAATTTCGAGTTGAACTTTAGAAATACATTAAAGTTTATATTACAAGAAAATGAATTTTTTATCCAAGAATTGACTGAAGTTTAGTTGCACTGAAAGAAGTGCATCTTAAAGGGATTACGAACTTAATTTTGAGTGAACACTTTTTAAAATAAAGGAATTGAGTTTTTGTCACAAACTCTGATTTTTGTATCCCTATATCTTTGCATTTTAATGTCGGAGTACCATAGATATTTCAAACTATGAATTATCATAGATCAAATAATAATGGTTTGCAATATTAAAGGTTTAGGCCATCAGGTTGCAAAGATATAGCAATTTGAAAATCAGAATTTGTGGCAAACACTCAATTCCTTTCAAAACGAAAATAATGAAATTTTCGTCGACAATTTTAAATACATTTTTAAAGGGTGGTTAATCGCCAATGTTCAATAAAAGAGGTGAAGAAGTAGAATTGTAGAATTAGGAGTAGATTACACTTCTTTCTTGCATATCATATAGTATTCAGTTTAAACCGTCCACCCTTGACCAGGAAAAAACAAGTGAATCAAAACTAATTACAAATCTTGCCTTTTTAATTAATTACAAAATTGCAGTTTTTCATTCCTGGATCATCGAAATTCATCCGCAAATAATGTTTGAAAGTTAAATATATATATAATCCTGCAGCAGGGTTCCTTCCAGGTTTTCTGTGTCAGGTCAGGTTTAAAGAAAATGTGGCAGATTTTCAAAAAGTGTCAGAAATTTTACCCCCCCCCCCTCTCACAGATTATTAATCAATTTTGAGCCATGCCCATATTGACAATAGGCCAATAGAATTGGCATTTTCTTTTGTTTCTTGGTAGACTTTTCCACTAAATCGGTATATTTGATCTCTTAATGAGCAGATTATTCTCCAAAATTGGCACGTTTCTGCTCAAAAATTTGCAGTAATTTTCCAAATCTGAAAGTGGCAGGTTAGTTGGGTCAAGTAAACTAACCCATATTTGCTCTGGGAGGAACCCTGCCCTGCGGTATAAACAATAAGGAGCGAGAAGAATTTGCAAACCTATATACGGATTAACTTTCTTTAGAAAGTCTTAATCCCAAAATCAATTACTTTCTTTTCACACTTCAAGTTAGTAAAGACGTAGTTTATTCCCATTCCCTTGCTGTTATCACGTTCCATAATATTATTCAACGAATTTAATCTTATGTCTCTCTCAGAAAACACATTTAGGAATAATATTTTACCAATTTATAAATTGTTTGAATTTTTTATTACATAACTCATGAATTTTTTATCAAAAAGTTTGATGAGAAGACATCGAAGCCTGAAATTTCAGAAAGTATCAATCACCGAAACCTAGTTAGTGAACTATTAAAATAATATTAAAATTAAGAAATTCACAGTTTTAACCTGGACCAATGAAATTTATGGATTTCAGGTTGTTTTCAGGTCCCAACGGATGTTCCCCCTCTGTTAAGAAAAAAAATGTTAGCTCCCCCCCCTGGATACATTCCTGAAACCGCCCCTGATGTTTGATTCCTACCTCTGCTGCTGCCCTCTTGGCCACTTTCTTATTAGGCCCTGACCCTACCGCTGAATTGGCTCCAACGGTCACCTTCATGAAAAATTCTCTTCGACGCGGCAATCCGCGCTCAACAATCAACGTATAAACTGGTTCCTTTTCCTTCTTAGCCTGCTGAATCTGGATAAGCCGAGATATAGGATTCACGGTCTGCTTAGAATCCGCAGTTTCATCATTTTCCTCCTGAAACAGGCAATGCTTAATTAACTAGGCTTCTATCAACAATTTAAGCATTTAATTCTAAAGTTTTTAGAAGCCATTTTTTCTTCCCAAGAGTAATACTCAAATTTTCAAAAATTTTCTATAAATATTTATTTTTATCAACTTTTTTCAAGACAATTTTTTTATTTTAAATCCTCCACAACCTTCCCTGAAGTCGTGTGAGTTGCCATAAAAAATTTGAGTCCGATTAAGGTTCAACTGTTTTGATTTTTATTGGATAAAGTCATTTTGGAATTATAGAATGGACGTAAGACAACCCTAACATTTTGATTTGATTTGGATAAAGACAGACAAGCAAGCCAAATTTAACCAATAAAAATGTGCTGAACAGTGAAGAATTGTAAAGATATAACTCACCTTTATTAGATTTCTTGATTTCTTTTTCGTCATAGTCTGTTTTCTGGGCTTAGGTTGAGTAATACTGGCAACCGGTGGAAGCTGCTTTAATTTACTTAACATCATTTCTGCAGCTCTCTTCTTAGAAACCTGGAATTTATAAAGGTCAGCTCAGTGTTTAAAATCAAATTCATTTTTTTATGCGGATCAAGTTCTTAATTTTTAGAAAGTAAGTTTAGAATTTTGAGGCAAAAATGTTATCTAAAAATTAAATTTTTGAAAAAAATGTATTTTAAATCAAATTCAAGATCAAATTCCATTTTCTTTTGTTAAGTGTAGACTTAGGTCTAAAATTCATTTTAGATTTAGATTTAGATTTTTTTTTGATCAGAATACTTTTAGATCAAATTTCCTTTAGATCGAAAGGTTTATAAATCAAATTCCTAAACAGCTGGTTAAATGAACTTAAAAACAAACCCAGGTTCACCTATCTCAATTTTTAATCAATTATAAAGTTATGCCTTGCACGTTGTTGGTTTATTTACAATAATCGTAAATATGGCTTAACCAATTGGGCCTACATTTTTTATGGGACATGTCATAGCCACTAGGGCGGTTTTGGGCAGATCATAATTCAAAAATATCCCCTCAAAAAAGTTGCCCATCAAAAGAAAATATCTGCAGTATGGTGTCCTACTTTGTTCATAGATGTATAAAAAATTTCCAAAAATTAAAATAATTATTATCACTGAAAAGCGAGACACGAAACACCCTGATTAAGGAGTATTCTAAATTTTATAATAAAAAAAACCTAAGATAGAAACCCGATGGATAAGATAAAAGTGTAGAAATTGTAAGAGTTGTATTGGTAAAATTGATCACAAGGGAATGATGGAAACAGAAAGAATTCTAGTTTGATAAATTGCGTTTAGTTTCAGATATTTAAATAATTAAATTCTATATTTATATTTAAACAAGATTTCAGAGAATAACTTTTCACATTAAAAGATGCAAAATAAGTTTGCATACTAAATTAATTCCCATATTAAACAAAAACAAATTAAAATTCAAGATGAAATCACAAACTTAAGTTTACTATACTCCCTTTTAAGTTATTTTAAAAAATCGTGTTTACTGAATATATTATGGATGTAAGAAAATTTAGATCACAGGAATACCTTTGTTACATATATCTAATTCATTTTCATTTTTGAAAGAAACGTTTTATTAATTATAGATTACACATTTCGAATAATGTATAGGCGCAGTATTACTTCTTGGCGTTTTTACGGCTAAGTCTATCAACCTTGTGCATCCTTTACCAAATAGTTCAGGATTGTTCTGTATTGAGCCATCAAAGGTTTATGACACAAACTAGGTTTAGCAATAAGAATTCTCCAGACTTGAAGAGTATAATAAGCTCAAAGATACTTTAGATTATTACCTAGAATAGCCATTTATTTACAAAAACATGGCTAAACTTTCTCCTAATTTAAATCAACTCAAAGTTTTCAGGACGACGAAAATGATGTATCCAAATTTAATTTAGAGTTTTTAAAACTAGTCGTGATTTTGGGTACACTTGGTACACTGACCTTTTTCCCATTCCCTTCTGCTTCGGCGTAGAGATCTCCAACAGAACATTTAGTGAGAAACATTCTCATATGCGGAGGCCCATTCTCCCGGACAACCTAGAATCAGGGTATATATATTTCACCTAACAACTGGGGGGGGGGATAATGATTTTCGAATTGGTCATCAACTGGCCGATTCCCCCATACCGGGGGCCGTTACTAATTATGGGGGGGGGGGCAACGGGACAGGTGCTACCCCTGTAAGATAAAATAAGTATTTTCTTAACCGGGTACGTGGGCTTTGCCCCTTCATTAAAAACTTCCAATTTCTTTTAAACTAAGAAATCATTTATTTTCTTCTAAGTCCCTTAATTCACACACATTCCTTATATGCAGGGAAAAAAAAAATTTTCTTTCTTTTTTTTGACAAAAATGTTTATCCCTGCCTTAATTAAAATTAGTAAAAACAAAGAAAAAATCAAATATAAGGAAAAAACAAGATGTATATTTTCTTATCCCAAATCTACTTTTAAATACTTAGTTAAGGTTAATAACATTAATGAATTTTACAGTTGAGAATTTATGGGGATGTTTATAAGATAATATATATAGCGATGACGGTGTGCAATATAAATTAAATAAAATAAATTCTTTGGAATCTTTTTTGATAAAATATTGTATTGACAGGTAGTGAGAAAAGAAATAAAATAAAAATTTCTTTCTTTTTAACGGTATAAGGTCTAAAAGATAAAAAAAATGTCTTCAAAACTTGGAATTTTACACTGATTTTAAATTTAAAACATTTTATTATAATCATAATTAATGCAATGTATTCTATAGTAGAAACTATATTTTGCCTCATCAGGCCCGTATCTAGGACTTAGTATGGGGGGGGGGGAGGCAAAAAGTTCGCAAAGTGCGTTGGGACATGTAGGAGGGGCGCGCCGTAGTCGCAGTTTGATTTTGACCTAAAAGCTCAGAAAATGTTAAGGTTTTTTATTTTAAACACTATTTTTTATATAAGATTGTATTTTGTTCGTTTTAAAACGTGTCTTCTTTCTCTTACAAGCTATTGAAAAGATATTATGTATTTACAAAATAACAAAAAAATGTCTTTCAATGTTCTCTTTATAATCGAAGGAATAAAAATGGCGTAAAAATGTTCAAAATAGATATTATGTTGTGATTAGAGTTAAAGAGTCTGTAAAAGAACAATGAAAGGGGGTATAGACTGACAGCTAATCACTCTAGCTCTTGATCGCGACCCATTTAAGTTATATCTGAAGTTCCTGTCTTGAGAAATTGACATAAAACTGTTTCAAATTTATATGAAAATTCATATATATATATATATACAATTTTGTATAGAAATAGTAGGTTTAAACAGATCAGCAAATACACAACCAATCTGAAAACGAAGATTTCCCAGAGAAACCTAATTGTAACTTAGGTTTTCTCCAATTATTATTTTATAATTTTTATTTTTAATAGATATAATTGATAATATTATTTATAAGCCCGTATTACGTCACCAGAACTCCCACCAATGGTAATGCAGTATAGTGGTCACGTGTCTGTCTGTATCACGTGACTAGTATACTGCACTCTCATTGGACAAGGAAAATAGCAAAACAAAAGGATGCATTATCTGTAAAAAAATAATTTTAATTAATGAAGGAAATAGAGTAAATTTCAGTGTAACGGACAGGGGACAGATGATTTTTTAACTGTAAAATATGACATATTTTCTCCAATAATACTGAAAGTTAAAAATAAAGTTTATATTTTAATATGTTTAATATTTAACGATGTGAAATACCATAATTTCAAAGCTTCCAGAGTATTTCAAAATTAAAAATATTTTATCTAAAAATATGAAAATTTGCCTTAACTTAACTAAAATATCAAAAGGTTATTTGGATTTCGAAAAAAAAGAGAAATGTAATTTTCGATATTCGGGGGGAGGTCAACTGACACCTATTATAATACTTTGAACCAAAATTGAATCAGTTTCACTATAAATTATTATTCTCCATTTAGCGATTAAACCCCTAAACATTTCTAATAGAAAGAAAAGCATTAATCAAGAAAATATAAACACTTCAAAAACTCTAAGTCTCCTCGCACTTGGTACTTATCTTTAGGTTTTGTTACTTACCGTGAAAGTTACGGGTAAATTCCGCTTCAAAGCAACCTCATGAACCAGAGATATCGGAGATTTTAAATCATCATATTCAACTCCTGAACATTTATAATTCATCCTATTCAACTCCTGAACATTTATAATTCATCATGTTCAACTCCTGAACATTTATAATTCATCATGTTCAACTCCTCAACATTTATAATTAATCATATTCAACTCCTGGACATTTATAATTCATCATATTCAACGCCTGGACATTTATAATTCATCATATACAAGTCCGGAACATTTATAATTCATCATATTTAACTCCTGACCATTATTCATCATATTCAACTCCTGGACATTTATAATTCATCATATTCAAGTCCAGAACATTTATAATTCATCATATTCAACATTTATAATTCAGCATGTTCAATTCCTGAACATTTATAATTCATCATATTCCTGAACATTTATAATTCATCATATTCAATTCCGGAACATTTATAATTCATAATATTTAACATTTATAATTCATCATGTTCAATTCCTGAACATTTATAATTCATCATGTTCAACTCCTGAACATTTATAATTCATCATATTCAACTCCTGAACATATATAATTTAAAAATCCAAAACGTTATTATTCATCCCAAAAATAACATTAAAAATTATGATTATGATTTTTAGTCGTTTTACCTGGAATAAATGGATTAGAAGTTGGATCAAGTTTGGACTTTCCTTCTCCGCTATTTTTATCTTTCAGAGCCTTTAACGCCTGGGACGCGGCGCAATGCCGCGCTGCCTGTGCCGTCGCTCCCTCTCCTTAAACATTTTATTATTGTAAGTTTCTTTTAATATCCACATGGCTTGTTACATCAAAAATATACAATTAAATATTATACTTATTTTATTTCAAAGATGCTTCACGAACAATGTAAATCATTTAATCAATTAATTATATAATCAATCAATTATTTATTGAATCGGGGATTTGTAAAATAAAATGATATTAAATTTAAAAGAGTTGTTGGTCTCAGCTCTAGAAGAGTAGGTTTATATTCAGGACTGTGGTTTCTTCTTTTATCAGAGAAAATTAATGTTGAACGTTAGTTGAAAATTTTTCCTACTCACGTTACAAAATGTATTTTACAAAGTTAAAAGAGGAGCTCCTAAGCTAATAAAAAAAGTTCTAGTTGAAAATCTTTTCAGATATTTAACTTAAGTTTATAATGACCAACATTCTCAGAAAAAAAAACATATATATATATATAGATTAAATTCAAAGTATTTATTATTTGACTTTAAAAAAAAGTTCAGTTTATTTCAATTTAAAAGAAAAAAAAAACAGATAAAAATGTAGTATTATAAAGATTCCTTCACACACAAAGATATACATACATATATAATTGGTGAAGTTTAAATTTGTTTAAATATTACGAATATGAAGTTTTACAAGAAATATACAAACATTTGCATATTTATCATTTCAGTTATTTCGTAATATAAATTATTAATTCTCATATCATTAATTTTAATATAGATGTGATTATTCAGGGGTTGAGATATGATGTTCTGATATTTTTTATATATTAAGTAATATCAATGATCCAAGACGTTACGAGAAACGGGAATAAAACTACCAGCTCATGCTACGTATCGGAACTCAATCCTTAACAGCAGTGGCTTGAGGGAGGAGGGAGGGATTGGGGACATTTCCCCACTAGAAAGAGTTGGAATTCAACTAGTGAGAGGGGGAAAACTAGTTAACTAGTAAGAGGGGGGAAACTAGAGAGAGGAGGGTAACTAGTCAACTAGTGAGAGGGGGGAAACTAGGGAGGGGTGTAACTAGTCAACTAGTAAGAGGGGGAAACTAGTCAACAGGGGGGAAACTAGCCAACTAGTGAGATGGGGGAAACTAGTCAACTAGTTAGTGAGATGGGGGAAACTAGTCAACTAGTGAGAGGGGGAAACTAGTCAACTAGTGAGAGGGGAAAAGTTCTACTTCATTTCGATTTTTTAAATAAACTAGAAAGTGGCGTTTAGCAAAATTTTAAGTGACTATGGAAAATAATGTTGTGACTGGAATATTTAAGATGTTACCTATATACTCTGTTTTCCCAACCTTCAACTGAACACAGAATACTGGGGGAAATCCTCGTCCTGTGGTTCTAAACATGGATAATTATAAATATTAACATGCTGGGGGGTAAAAATGGTAATCAAGATGTAAATGCAAAAATTCTCTAGGCGCACACTACTACAAGAATAATTTTAATCTTATCTTATTCTTGGTTTAATATTACCTTCCTTTAACAAAATTTATTATCTAGGGTAGGAAAATAATCTAATCTCTAAGACATAAACAATTATTTTCCAGAATAATTAAGTGTGCTACGATCCTTCTGCAAACAAACAAAAGTAATTAAAATTAAGGGAAAATGAGATTACAGGGGACATTAAAGGGAGTGTTCGCGAAAAATGAAAAGGGGTATATGCTTAATGCCATAAAAAGCTACTAATCTAACTTCTATCTGTTGCGCCTATAAGGAGAAAATTGTTAAAACCGACTCACACCGAAGAACGCAGCGTCCATACAAATTCGGAAAGATGCAACATTCAACTCGGATCGTAAACAAATCAATTTTATTCCAAACAAATCATTCAGATATTACAAACAGTAGTCATCGATTATTTTTCGACGCATTCGTATATAGTAAATATTTCATGATATTTTTGATTTTGTTTTTTAAAATAATTTTCGCTGGCGCTGGATTTTCGAACATTCCTGGAAAATATGAAAATGTCGTCTTCATTATCAAAAATCCTTGAAACAGGAATAAATGTTTTCAAAAGTAACTCTCAGATCATGAAAAATACAAAATATTGTGAAATATCAACTATTAACGAATGCGTCGAAAAATTATCGATGACTATTGTTTGTAACATCTGAATGATTTGTTTGGAATTAAATTGATTTGTTTACGATCCGGGTTGAATGTTGCATCTTTCTGAATTTGTATGGACACTACGTTCTTCGGTATTAGTCGTTTTTAACAATTTTCTCCTTATAGGCGCAACAGATAGAAGTAAGATTAGTAGCGATCAAAAGCGCTTTTTTATCGCATTAAGCCTATACCCCCTTTCATTTTTAGCGAACACTCCCTTTAATTCCAAAACTAAGTGTTAGTTTTAAAACTACTTTCCCTTGGATTAGGTGAAAACACAAAAAAAATATTTTTTACTTAAAATAACTGTATATGAAAAAAAGTGAATCATATAAAATCAAACAGAATAGAATATAAATTAGAGTAGAATTTAGTCAATCCCTCGGTATGAATTTTGTCAGTCCCTTTCACTTTCAGCCTGAAAGGGAGTTCAAAGTGTACAAATCATGTAAATGTTCACAAATTATATGCCGTAGAGTACATTAATACAGTATGATCCCTAGACTATCCATTTCAATTTCGAATTTTTTAAAGCTATTAATTAAATAAACTTTATAAAATGAATTAGGTGTATAAAACATCATTTGATTTATAGTTATAACGGAAAATCATCGTTTGAAAGTGAAAGGCATAGAGTCTATGTGAATTGATCATTGGTCAATTATTTCATAATTTGATTTTCTTTTAATATTAATTTTAGATTTTCTGATGTTCAAGGGCCCAAAAGGTTATATGTGAAGTACACCTGCAGTATGGAAACAGTACAACAAAATGGCCGTTTTACACTTTTTTCTAGTAAATTCCACTCTAATATATATTCTATTCTCTTTGTATAATAGACCAGCATGATCAGGTGGAGTAAAAAATATTCTAGGTCCAAGAACTGGTTTACAACAGTTAGATGTATGACCCCTATCTGTTTTTGAGGAGATGAGATGACTGGTTTGATCTGGTTGGGTGTATATTATATATCCCCTACCTGTTTCTGAGTGCATAAGAAAACTGGTTTGCTCTGGGTGGAAATAAGTCTTACCTGTTTCTGAGTGGATGGTAGAACTGGCTTGATCTGGTTAGAGATATAACCTCTACCTGTTTCTGAGTGGATGGGAGAACCGGTTTGATCTGGTTTGAGGTAAAACCCTTACGTGTTTCTGAGTGGATGGTAGAACTAGTTTGATCTGGTTGGAGGTATAACCCCTACCTGTTTCTGAGTGGATGGGAGAACTGGTTTGATCTGGTTCGAGACATAAACCCAACCTGTTTCTGAGTGGATAGGAGAACAGGTTTGATCTGGTCCCCTACCTGTTTCTGAGTGGATGGTAGAACTAGTTTGATCTGGTTGGAGGTATAACCCTTACCTGTTTCTGAGTGGATGGGAGAACTGGTTTGATCTGAATGGAGGTATAACCCCTACCTGTTTCTGAGTGAATGGTAGAACTAGTTTGATCTGGTTGGAGGTATAACCCTTACCTGTTTCTGAGTGGATGGGAGAACTGGTTTGTACTACTTGGAGGTATAAATGAGTAGCTTGCAGGTTCTCCTCTTTTCATCGCCATAGCGTTCAATTCTACAGTTGGGGTCACATTCGCTATAATAAAATAGAAATAAATATTAAAAATGCAATACAATTTCTTTATGTATTTTAAAACCTACAATTTTATTGGTTAAGGATTATGTAAAAAATCTGGAAATATTTGAGCCGGTTGATTATTAAAAAAAAATTTAAGTATGACCTGAATATCGATGTTTTTTAGCCTTCAATAACATGCCAAAGATAATTACCACTTTTTGAAGGTTTCAGTTTAGGAGCTGGATGCTTAAGCTGAGTTTTCTCCAGAGCAATCGCCGCGGCGGCGTGCTGGGCTTTTTTGATCGAAGGTCCCGAAGCCAAGAACTCCTCCTTGTCGCCGATCTTAAGACAGACGGTAAAATTCTTCTTATGCGCTGGTCCAGACTCATCAGTCAGCTTGTACTGATGCTGTATCTAAGAAGGAAAAACATTACTAAAAAAAAGTTTAATTTCAATAATAAATAAATTTTAATAAAAACTGAGCCATCTGTTACCTTGTTAAACCTTGCAAGTTCATTCACAAGACACATTGGAGTTTTCTCTTTGGTATTCATTCCGTCATTCAGGTCAATATGAAGCGTCTGTTTCAACATAACCGGCGGGGGTCGACCATACTGAGACGGAACCCCGGGATGATGGTTTGGATGAGTAGAGTAACCTCCTCCTCCATCCACCAGACTCCCTGTATGCTGGTGGAGTTGATGAATATGCTGAGGAGGAAGGGAGGTTGCTGAGTTGACCGACACAAGAACCCCAGGTAGAGAGGTTGGAGGATGGGTGTACTGACTCATCATTACATGGTTTGAGGATGAAAGGCTGCCTGGAGAATGCCCACTTCCTCCTGAAATAAAGTTTTAAACAAAAATATAATAAGCAAACCCCCTTCACCTAATAAAACATTTCCCACAACACTCTCCTCCCGAAAGATATTTATTTAAGTAAGTAAAAAATTATTTATGAAATATAACAAAAACATACAAACTTAAGTTTTTCAGGAGAAAATATTTTAAAACCTCTAAAAGTAGAGGTTGTGGGAATATTTCCCCCCAATTCTAAAAAAAATATAAGAATAGAAATAAAAGAAAAAGGAAAGGAAAAAGAAAGTTACATATTTTTTGTTTACACTATATTAAATATAAATTGGTGGTGGATTGTTAGTATTTTTCGACGATGAACTAACAACTTTTAGAAATAAAAATTATTGATTTATTTGTACTGTTAAAAAAAAAGTAAAAAAAGCTTTATGGAGTGTGAAGTGAAAGAGATATAGGTTCTATGAAAAACGGGCACTTTTAAGCATCTTTTTAATTCACGCTGATTTTTGACATCCTTTATGTTTGATAATATCTTTTACTCTTTTTAATCTTTTTATTCTTTTCTTTGTAAAGTCGTCATTGCTTTCTTCGATTCTTTTGCAAACATAGCATGTGTTAGAATTAAAAAATTTGTTCTGCTGATAAAAAGTTTATGTTAAATTCTGTTTAAAATTCGAAATAAGATTGATATTTGAAAGCTTAGAAAAGTGTCGTTTATTTTCATACAATATTTTAGGGAAATTGTGAGGGGGGAGCAGTCCAATTTTAATAGATTTTATTCTAGGAATATAAAATCATTTCTGTTTCTAAGATTTGCGTTTTTGATATTTTTTGATAATATAAAATCTTTTTTAAATGTTGGGGGTAATTGATCTCCTTTCAATTGAAATACAAATTTTATAACATTAAAAAATTCCTAATTTTCTGAAGGGGAGTATGTTTAAAGCCCAAAAAGCTTCCGCTGTGTGACTTATTCAAGGTAACCCCATCAAAAGACGGATAGCTTTCTTTTGCAATGATTATATCAATATTTTTGTTTGAAGTTAGCATTAGGAATGTTGAACTAAATTCTAAATGAGTGGAAAAAGGAGTAATAGAGCATCTTCATGGTTTCAAAGCTTAAGAAGTATTTCATTTTTTTCATAGCATAAAGTGAAAAAGTTAACCGCCTGTATATCTTTTTAAAATAGTAATTAAAGTTCAATTTTGAATCCAGCCATATTCCCAGAATCTAACTGAATCTGTTTCTTTTATTCGTTCAATTTTTCGTTTTGTGCATTTAGAGAATTTGAAAATAAAATTGCATTAGTTTTCTCAAAGTTAATAGTAAGTTTATTAGACATGTACCAACAAGTTATTTTTTCTATTTCTCTATTTATTGTGTATGCTAAAGCATTCAAGTTTTTACATTTTGATGCCACATTTGTGTCGTCGGCAAAGTGTGTTAGATTGGAAGAAGTCATATACATATATCATTCACATATATATCTATAAACAGCTTAGACCATTTATATCGACTTTTTGCCCCTGTCGCGTAAGTAAAATTCAAACCATTGTTATGTGTTGCCCCTATTGTAATGTGTTCACCAATGAGATCCTACACCAATAAGCTCTTAAACTTCTAACAAGAAAGCTAACCTTGAATGGTTTGATGTTGAGGAGGAGGTTGTTGCTGATGTGTAGATGAACCTGGACTAGGAATATGATGCGGGCCCTTGTTAGCCTGAATATGATGCTGCCTACCATTAGTTTGTATATGGTGTGCTGATAGAGATGGTTGTAGATGATGTTGAACACCTGAAGGCTGGATATGATGAGTAGTAACACTGCCATGGTGTTGCCCAGATCCTTGCACAATATGCTGTTGAATATGATGCTGTGGAGCTCCAGTGCTCTGAATATGGTGCTGTAGCCCACCTGTACTCTGAATATGGTGTTGTGGAGCCCCTTGTATATGATGTTGTGGACCTCCACTACCCTGGATGTGGTATTGTTGTCCTCCAGTATTAAGTATATGGTGCTCCGGACCCCCAGTGTTCTGAATATGATGGTGTGGCGCTGTCTGTAAATGATGCTGAGGAGAAGGTGGAATGAGATGCTGGGTATTTCCACCCTGAGGTATTCTCATAGGAACCTGAGCCATCCTAAACATTCATCGTCAAATTTGGTCAAATAAATATATTTAGTCAATTTATTCAACTTTCTCTCAGTTCCTCTCTCTATTTGTATCTTGTCCACATTCCATCTACCTTCTCTCTATACTCCTTCCATCTACCTCCCTGTATCCTATCTACATTTTCTCTATACTCCTTACATCTACATTCTTGTATCCTATCTACCTTTTCTCTATACTCCTTCCACCTACATTCCTGTATCCTATCTACATTTTCTCTATACTCCTTACATCTACATTCTTGTATCCTATCTACCTTCTCTCTATACTCCTTCCACCTACATTCCTGTATCCTATCTACATTTTCTCTATACTCCTTCCATCTCCTCCCTGTATCCCGTCTACCTTCTCTCTATACTCCTTACATCTACCTCCCTGTATCCTGTCTACCTTCTCTCTATACTCCTTCCACCTACATTCCTGTATCCTATCTACATTTTCTCTATACTCCTTCCATCTCCTCCCTGTATCCCGTCTACCTTCTCTCTATACTCCTTCCATCTACCTCCCTGTATCCTGTCTACATTCTCTCTATACTCCTTCCATCTACCTTCCTGTATCCCGTCTACCTTCTCTCTATACTCCTTCCAT